GGTGGGGTGCCCCCCCCGCGGGGGGGGGGGGGGTCCCCTCCCTGCACCCAGCAGCCTCAGCGCCTCAGGATGGCTCATCTCCCTTCCCTGCAGGGACGGGGAGTGGTGGCTTGTGGCATCTGAGGTGTCTGGCAAGGAGTGCCATGTCCCCAGCAGCTGTGTGGCCAAGGTCAGGCACAGGTAAATGCTGGAAAGGGTCCATCCCAGGGTGGGCCCCAGGGGATGTGGCCCCACCACAGAGAGCCTGGCCAACGCCAAGGCCAAACTCTGGCCACTGCACTGGGACGTCCTGCCCCATTTCTCTCCCTGGGCCATGGAGCAGCACTGGGGCTCGGGGAGGCAGCAGCACAGCATGCCGGGGTGTCCCCAGGACATGCGCTGCTGCACCCCGAGCTGTCCCCTCCACCCTGGCTGGAGCAGGACAGGCCCTGGGGTGCTGGGTGTCCCTGCACAGCCAGGAGAGGCTCTGCCAGTGCCTGCTGCCTGCACAGGTGGCTGTATGAGGGTGTCAGCCGGCAGAAGGCGGAGGAGCTGCTGCTCTGGCCAGGCAGCAGCAGTGGGTCCTTCCTGATACGGGAAAGCCAGACTAGGCAAGGTGAGAGCCCTCGGGCCCTGTCTCCTGTACCCCCTCCCAGCTGTCCCCACTGGGGTGCCAAGGGCATGAGTGGGGCCCCAGTCGAGCTGATCCTCCATCACTCGCACCTGGTGGCAACAGCCTGCCCTGTGCAGCGGTTTACTGGCACCGCTGCTCCCTGCTTTGTGCTGAGCCTCTGCCATGGGGCCTCAAAAGAAAAAACCACCAGCAGGCTTCCTGCAGCTTTTGGTTAAGCAGAGAAGTGAAAAGGCTCAGCCTCTGAAGTGAAATGGGGCCTCCATCACGACAAGGTGCCGAGGGGACCCCGCAGGGAAATCCTGCCGGGTGCCCCACTGCACACAGCTGATGCACTGGTATGATGCTGCATGGCCCCATGGCTGCCTGGGCACCAAGGGTGGCCGTGGGGCTGGGGGCCGTGGGGCTGAGGATGGCCCATCCCTGCGCAGCACTCAAAAGCAGAAGACTCAGACACAGAGCCACAGCACCTGATGCTGAGGGCACGTGGGACACGGCAGGCAGCTGCCCGAGGTCATCCCATGTCCCAGCACTCCCACATCCCCCAGTTTGGAGGTGCTCATGGTGTGGGGCTGGCACAGGGATGCTCACAGCCACGCAGCCCCATGGGGAGAAGGATGCTGCCGGCCACCCCTGTGGGCCAATAAAATCCACGATATGGGAGAGTGCAGGGCAGTGGGGCCGAGCGGGGTAAGTGCCCACAGCAGCCTGGCCACGTGCCTCTCGCCCCAGCAGGCTGCTACTCGCTGTCAGTGCGCCACAGCGAGCATGCCTCCTGGGACTCAGTGACACACTACCGCATCCACCGCCTGGAGAATGGCTGGCTCTACATCTCACCCCGGCTCACTTTCCCCAGCCTGCACGACCTGGTGGACCACTACTCCGGTAACACCTTGCTAGCCCCCCAGCACCCCCAGTCTGTGGGGGGGGGATGCCCTGCAGGGAGGGAGGAGGGAAAGGTGGTGGCCGGTCCCCCACCTGTCCAGGTGCACCCAGCATTGGGGTGCAGGTGGGGGGCACCCTGCTGACACTGCTGGCTCCCTGCCCAGAGTTTGGAGAGGGGCTGTGCTGCCCCCTCAGGGAGCCCTGTTCCATGGAAGGGGTGAGGGTGACCCCAGTCCCTGCCGTGCCCACTGTTGTGAAGAAGCCATCACTCAACTGGGACAAGATCGACAGGTAGGGACAGCCGGAGAAGGGGCTGGGGCTCCCCTCACCACTCCTGCCAGACACTCGGGGGTCTGGGGGCTGCCTGCTGACCGCCCCATCTGCCCTCACGCAGCTCCCTCCTGTTCTCGGAGGCTGCATCCCCACCAGAGGAGGACTCTCCCATCAGCCTGGGCCTGCGGGAAGCCATCAGCTCCTACCTCCTCCTGACAGAGACAGCTGCCCCGGAGGAGGGCCCCACGGGGAAAGGGGCAAAGAGCAGCTGAGGGCAGGGCCCAGCGTGGCCACAGCCCCACAGCCCCACAGCAGATGCCCGGCCCTCGTTAAACCATTCACCTGGTTTCAGCCACAATCGCTCATTGATGCCACAGGAGCCGGGCACCCGGGGCCCGTCAGCCTGGACGCAGGACAGCTGAGACCAAGGTGCTGGACGAAGGGGCTGCCCGAGGGCCCATCCTCCCTAAAGCCAAGCGCTTTGGGATGTGGTGTTTGAGGACCCCGACCATCACCCAGCGCCCATAGGAGGAGAAGGCAGAGACTGTACATAGAAGGAGCCCTGCCTGCCCCACAGGCTGCAACGGGGCCCCGCTGCCATCTGCACTCCCACAGCAGCAGGGAAATGGGATGCAAATGCCCAACAAGCCGAAGCCTGGCCCAGGTGGGGGAACAGCCCGACCCCATGAGACCCCTCAAGGTCATGTACAAACTTTTTTGGGGTGGGGTGTCCATGCAGGACAGGGCCTGTGAGCAGCAGCCGTGGACCCTCATGCTCTCACCCTCCCATAACTCACCCCTCTGCTTGTTGGGACCAGCAGAGCAGCAGCCGGGATGAAACCAGCCTCTTACTGCACCCAAAGTAGCTGATTTTTAAACCTTTTAACGTATGGAGGGTACTGGATTTAAGGTCGATAAAACAGAATCCTGCTCGACATGCAGCAATAACCATTTATAATATATTAAAGGGTGTGTCATTCACAGTTGAAGGTTTGTGAATAAATCGTGAACTGCCAACTGCAACCACAGGGCAGGTTTCCAGCCTGGGGGGTTTTGCTCCTGCCATGGCCATCGCCCCAGCCCTGCTGCCAGCTTTCCCCAACCTGGGGCAAGCCGACAGCCACGGGTCAGGTCCAGTCCTCAGCCAACTCGTTTAGGGCAAATTAATGAGCCCTAGAGGTTTAGAAGTGTTTAACATCACAACTGCTGTTCTAGGAGCAATAAGGAAAGAAATGGGTCCATGCCAGGACTAGATGATCCAAAAAGGCAGAATGCAAATACCCATGTCCAACTGCGATCTAAGCTACACCTCTGGGCTAGAGGGGGCCTTAAAAGCAGCAGAAATGCCTCAGAACAGCAACATGCTCTGAACAGCCCCTTATCAGCAAAGCACGGCCTGGGGAAAGTGCCCAGAACTTCCTCTGCAGTGAGAACCGGTGCAGAAGCAATTTCGCTGCTTGGTGACATCCCTTCCTTCTGCTCCTCTGTGCCCAGAGGCTGGTAGAGCAGGACGCCCCTTATCTGCAGGTTTCCTGCCTCTGACATGCTCGAATCTCCTCTTCATTTTCACGTCTGATGAGCTTGCTCTTGCAAACCCACCATCACTTTCTCATTTCCTTCCACACAGCAGCCCAGAGCTTTACACACCTGCTCAGCCGTCAGCCTCAAGCCCAGGTGTCTTTTCAGCACAGGCCAGAGGTCAGGGTTTATCCCTCAGCCTTGACCTTGCCCCGCAGCCAGCTGAGCCTGCTGCTGTCACCCCTGAGGGGCTTCCTTTGTTTTTGCCATTAACCCACATTGTGTGAACGAAGGCCGGCTCTTGGGCCTCCTCCTTCCACCTCCGACCTGGATCCAGGTTGTTAGACGCTTTTACACCACAGTGATGGTTCTACCTCAGACTGGAGGCAGCCACAGTCAAGAAACTGCTTCTTTGATACTTGTATCCTGGTGACCGGCAAGATGGGAAACACCTGCTCGGAAAGCCGATTTGAATCCTTCCCCAACACCGGCAGCCTCCGAGCCCTCCTCCTTCCCAGCCCCCAAAGCTCCTTTTTCTGTGCACACTTCACTCGTGCTGGGAAACGTCTTCACAGGCCCCCAGAAGAGCAGGGCGGTGGCACCCCGGGCAGCCGCGGCTGCTGCTGGGGGGATCCCAGGGCACCCAGCCTGGGGTGCTGGCATCCCCGCTCCCTGCCTCCCACTGCTAAACGCTGCAGCCCCAGTTAACATCACAGGCACAAAGCCAGATGAGAAACCAGGTTTTTAACAGCTGGAAGAGGCAGAGAGCAGGTCCCAACATCTCCTCCCAGCAGCAGCTCTCGCCCCAGACAGGGAAGGGCAGAGCGGAGAGGCAGGGGCTGCAGGGCTGCTGCCCTGGGCAGCGCAGGACTGGGACGCCGAAGGCTGTGAAGGGACAGAACAAGCCCTGAGGAGACCCACCGGTGCCAGGGCAGCAGAGGACCTGCCAGCTGCCTCAGCCACCCAAGGGTGGGCGGCCGTGGAGACCAAGCAGGGACAGGGGCTGCCGCCTGTCCTCACCAGAGGTGCTCCGAATGCCCAAGACACTCATGGAAGAGGAGCTTCTCGGATGCTCTCTGCTGTGTGTCAGGGGCACACCGAGCTTGCAGAGCTGGGCCACTTTGGCCAGATCAGCCATACTGTGGACAGCACTGACCTCCTGTGAGAGGTTTGTCACCGACTTCCTCTGAAGTGACAAGTACTTCGTGACATCCAGATGTGCAACCGTGCCATACAAGCCTATGCTCTGCCCCCTCACCCACCTGAAACCAAACTGTTTGAGCATCTCTTTCACAAGAGCAGCCACCAAGCATTTGCTGGGATCAAAGGGACTTCTGAAGGCATTTGGAGGAGCTGCAAAATAGCCAAAGTATCTCCAGTAGCTTTGGACCACTATTCAGAGGACACAGCCATTTGTAGAGCCTAGATTCAGTGTGGTACTCAGCAAACCAGTACTCCAATTGACACACGAGGGTACGGAAACCCACCACTTCACAAGCGGGTCCTTCCCTTGGTGTCCCTTGCAAGTGTATGTATTCAATCTGCCTAACTTAAAACCACCAGTCTGAAAGCTCAGGAGGTGCACACAACTCCTCCTCTCCTCCTGAGCCCCAGGCACCCAGCATCCCTAAACCATGGGAAACAGGGCCCACACCATCCTTAAAAACTTGGTGTGGAGCGTTAACCAACAAGACTCTGTGCCATCATTCAGCCTTTTCTGACCAAACACCCCTATGGCACAACAAGTACCACCAGCAGAAACACCCTGCAGGCAGAATATGATGAACTGCAGCTTTTTTGTTGTTTTGTTCTCAGTTTTGCTGTCTACATGTATGTTCTAATAGGAAAAAAAACGTAGTATTTTCTGTTTTTAAGTACTTGCCTGTTTGAACATGGGCTTTTTTTTTGGTTAGCTGTGGCAGGTATCAACCAGACGAGCTGTAAGTAGTTTTTTCTCTTCACAAGAAAGTTGCTACGCAAATACTGAAGGATTAGTATGAAGATATGAAATACTCTTCTAAACAACTGCAATAGCTTGACGTGCTCAACACCGCCATTGGAAAAAACAGACCAAGTATCAGTCACGAACGCGTTCGCAATCTGATGAAATGCCAGTGCTGCTGCAGCAGGGATGATACTCTAGCATCAAACCAAGCATGAACAAGATCCATGGTCTGGACCATGATCAACAGTAGATCATGTAATTAGAAGAGATATTTTGGTCAAATACAGTAAGAATATTAAAATATGGTTGTGTCAGATTTCTTAGGCTGGGGAACTTCAAGGTGAATCTACCCACATGAAGGCTGACAGATGACTTGGCAACTGCCTCCTAGTGCGAGAGTCTGCCCCTACAAGAATCTTATGATCAAGCAAGTAAAATAGGGAGCTTGGACAAGCTCAAATCCGGGGGGACACGTTCCCAGAAACATGGCTAGCCACAGCACGCATTTCAGTAAGTTACTTCAAATTCAGATCACATCTTCAAAACCTGATTTTGACATTTAAGTGATCAGCAAAACCTACACAATTTGACTGAACCATGAAACACACACCTGGATGCGTGTGTGGTGGCACATCTTCTGCCATCAGTGGCAGAAGTTTCTCCAGGCTTCACAAGCTGGGCTCTAGCAGAGTGATGCACCCTCTGACCTTAAAATCCAGGAGTTTTACAGGAATCTTGTTTTGAGAACAAAATTAGGAAGGGCAATTTGTTAGGACAAGGGAATCAACTTGTTTTCCTCCTACTGGGGAAATTGAGGGGGGGGAAGCGATGGAACCAGAAATGCATCTGAAGTCACATCGATGCCTGCCCCCACCCTCAGACACACCCTGTGCCGGGTACTTTCCTCTCCAGCACTCCCCTTCCCATGCCTGTGCGTTTTCTCTGTATGGATTGTTAAATACATCAGAAGCTCCTTCCTTTGCATTAATGCTAAAGCAGCACTTCCTCACACAGTAAACATGCAGCTTCTACACCAAGCTTGCTGCTGCTGCCCAGAAGTATGACAGCAGCTTTCAGAATGTCACAGGCGCAGCACCCACATTCCCTTCCAGCACAAGCCTCCCAAACCTACCTGAAACTCAACTGCTAGCCACTGCTACATGGGCAGAACACATTTCCACCTGAAAATTGTAGAGAAATTACATATTTTTCTCTATGCAGTTTGCACTGTGCAGCTGACAGCACTTGCCCTAATTCACCTGGTTTTAGGAACTGTCCAGGGAAGCTACACCTTCAGGTCTCTGCACTCTTGGAACGAGCATCCTGGCTTCACACTTGTCTCCCGGCGCAGAAGTCTCGTACACACACTTCCAGATGCTACAGGGCTGCGCTGTTCTGGTTAGAGCAGCTTCCTACCCACAACACTCAAGTCTTTTGCGAAATGAAATCATCAGAGGGATGAGCCAGCTGCCCCTCTCTCATCGACACTGCCAAGTGCTCAGCAGCAGCCCTGGTAGGCTACTCCTTGAAACAGGAACAAAAATGAGGGTCAGATTACATCTACTAGGATTTGGGAATAAAATGTACAACCTCCTCGCTAAAAAAATAACCAACATGAAACAATACATAACAGTTTACCTATTAAGAATATTTATATGAGACAGATCTGGAAAACAATCATTTCCATACTTTAGGAACAGTTAAGATCTGTATTGCTGTCAAACTACAGGACCTGCATTTCAATACCATGTGAAGAAAGAAAGTCCAAAATTATTTTATTGAATAATCATTAATTGAAACAAAGACTTT